GGTCACAGAGGAAATTGAAGAAATTAGACAGTTTCTACAAGTAAATGATAATGCCAGTACAACATACAGGAATCTATGGGACACAATAAAAGCAGCTCTACATAGGAAATTCACAGCAGTGAATGCCCATATTAGGAAAATAGAGAGAACTCAAATAAATAACCTAATGCAGAACCTCAAGCTCCTAGTAAAAGAAGAGCATAGCAAACCCAAAGCTCGTACAAGAGAGGAAATTATAAAGATTAGAGCACAAATCAATGCAATGGAGACTAGGAGAATGACACAAAAAAATCAATTTATCAAAGAGTAGGTTTTTTTAAAGAATAAATAAAATTGATAAACCTTTAGTCCACCTTATCAAAAATGGAAAAAGAGGCTCAAATCCATCCAATTAAGAATGAAAAAGGTAAAATCACAACAGACCCAGCAGAAATCCAGAGGATCACCAATACCTACTTTGAGAACCTGTACTGTAATAAAATGGAAAACACAGAAGAAATGGACAGATTCCTAGATACGTGTGAATTGCCAAAGTTAAATGAAGAAGATATAGAAATTCTAAACATCCTGATTACAATGAGTGAAATTGAAAATGTAATAAAAAATTTGCCAACAAAGAAAAGCCCAGGTCCTGATGGCTTCACTGCTGAATTCTACAAGACATTTAAAAAAGAACTATCACCATTACTCTCTAAACTCATCAAGGAAGTTGAAAGGAAAGCAAGGCTTCCAAATTCATTCCTGGAAGCAAGTGTTACTTTGATTCCAAAACCAGAGAAAGACCCAACCAAAAAAGAGAAGTACAGGCCAATCTCCCTAATGAACATAGATGCAAAAATTCTCAACAAGATACTGGCAAACAGAGTACAGAGGGTCATCAAGATCATACAACCTGACCACGTCTGATTTATCCCAAGGATGCAAAGATGGTTCAACATAAATAAATCAATAAATGTAATACACTATATTAACAGAGCCAAGGACAAAAACTATATAATCATCTCAATAGATGGAGAAAAAGTATTCGACAAAATCCAACACCCATTCATGATAAAAAAAACCCTACAGAAAATTGGAATAGAAGGTCTTTATCTCAACCTGATTAAGGCT